ATTTTGGATTTTTCTTCTTTTTTTTGGAATAATCAGAAAATAAATTTAAAAAATACATTTATTAGTATTTGCTAGTAACTGGACAGGTCAACTTCAGCTACTGCTCAGGTGGTCCTTTTCTCTGATGTTTGTGAGGTATTTTACCTCACGTTACAACCACACGATCATGTTATACCACAGATGTTTATTTAGCGATTTAATGTCCCATACCAACAGAAGGAAGGACATGAACTGTGAATGTTTTTATATTATGTATCTTTTTTGATTAATCTTTTCATTAAAACATTTTTTTTTACGGAAATCTGTAAAGTGTTGCATTCATATATATTTAGACTGCTGAGTCTCCTTTTGTTGCAATAACCAAACCAGCTGCGTTGTCCTTGCTGATGAAATATATCCCCATAGCATGACTGCCATCGCCATGTATCCCTGACAGTGGTGTGTTTATGTTTTATACAATGCTAAGTTTTTTCTTCCACCAAATTCATTTTTTAGGCATGTCAAACTTGTGCTTGGTCTCCTTTTAGGAAAGCAAGTCTTCTTAGTATATTAAAAATATATCTAAAACTACCTATCTTTTAAACCAATGTTGCTAGTCACTTTTAAAAAAGTGCTATTTCTTTTTGTCAGAAGTAGCATCATTCTAACAGGGACTTAAAACATTCTGTTCATCTGTCAAGAAAAATCCCAGTCTGAGTATGGAATAAAAAGCTTTATTTTATTTATAAATAAATAAAATAAAGCTGTGTGAATACATTTGGTAGGCATTGTAAATCACCTAATATTCCAGCAGCTGGACTTTGTTTATGTCTTATAACAGTTTAAGAGCCTCTTTTACCTTCGTTACCCATGCATAATTTATGAAATCATGCTTTCCTCCTTTATGGAGAGACAAGCTGCTTAGAGACATCTCTCTTGTACACTTCGTCAAAAGTGTTTCCAGTGTTACATGTGGCTGCACTGAAACAGGGCTGTAAGCCTTTCCAGCCTTGCCAAATACTTCCCCTTGGGAGCTAAATAGTGTGAGATCATCCAACGACGATGACCGTGAGGAGCCTATAACTCACAGTAGACAATGTCACAGGAAAATCCTCCCAAGTAGTGTTGAAAAGCTTTTAGAGAAGGCTAGACTCTAATCCAATGCTTTATTGTCTGTATTATTGAGATAGCTTTTAAGAACTGATTACAATCGAAATGCATTTAGCAGACAATACCTACACCACATTCTGTGCTGAAGGAAAGTACTCCACAAACATCACTGTGCTTTATTGTGATTTTATATGATAGATCAACAAAAGGTGGAGCACAACTGTGAATGAGGATCTATCAAGAGTGAAATGCATTTGTATTAGGCCCTTTGAGTCAATACTCTTAAAGCTGCCTGTCATTGAAATTACTGCTGCAAGACATTTAGTACATGTCTCTACCAGCTTTGAAACTTGGAAACAGAGCTTTTTTTTCTTTTTGGTTATGTTTTTCCAAAATATTCAAACTCAATCTGACTTTCCAATGGAGCATGGAAGGACTGTGACTGGACAAACACACAGAGATCCTAGCATTCAAATATTTCAGTCATTTTAGGGACACAGTTTTTTTCTGCCTCTCTTTTTCTAGCCCCTTGGTGTAATTCAGGATGGAATTATTTTGTAAGGATCCAACTTAATTTCAAGAACGGTAGAAGTTTATCTCTATAATGCATAATTTGTTGTGTTGTAAGGGGAGATATTGGAAGATATTAATAAGTTCATAAGAGTCACTGACAGATTCTAGTTGATGAGAATAGAATAGTAAATGTTTAAAAATTAGGAAATTGCATGCTTTTTGAGACACCCTTTTAATCTTTCAGATTAATTGTATTCCCACTTCCCCTAAAATCTGACTTAGTTTGTTTCATTTAAGCTGTGCCAATATCTCTTTATTTTAGAATGATGGGTTAAATAATCCTCTTAATTATCAAAACTCAGAGTATTTAACCGTGACTTCTCTGGTTTGCTTCTTAGTCCTCATGATGCTGTCTATCCATAGTGTCTAAAAAGTATTTAATATATGTATATAATGTATATGATAAATCTGTGTTAGTCTAATACCAGCTGTTTTCTAGTTAAAAAGAATTAATGAATGAACTTTGAAACCTTCAAACTGAAACTGGATTTGTACAGAGATAAGAATAATGTAATGAAAGTAATTTCTCCCTGGGATTATTAAAGTATTTCTGATTCTGATTCCTCATAGATGGTTTCAGGTGTCGTGAATGAAACGGTGCCCAGCTTGAAAGAGCTCCTGTATGTCACTGAATGTGTGCATTAATGACTGGAAGACATCTTGTGTCTCCATTTATCTATTTACTACAGTGTGTTGAATTAATGTTAATGTATATTTACAGACATTTCAGAATTGCAGAGGGGAATATAAAAAAAAAAAAAGTCTAATTAACCAAAATTTCGCAACCCCTATGCAGTAGCTCTGTGGACCCCTCAGGGGGTCGCGGACCCCCTGTTGAAGACCTCCGCTGTAGATAGTTTACGGAATCCAGATACACTCCACACTTACCATGTTTTCCCTTTCCAATTCTATGAGGTAAGATCACTGTCAAAATAAACTACAATTCATTCATTTTGCAGTTTATGCTCAGAAACCAGATCGTCTGCGTGTGTGTCGCAGTTAACGCAGAATTGGCCACCTCCATTCAGCAGACACTCAGGTGCAACTTCCCCAAATTGTATGTGACTGCAGACAGATAGCATTGCAGGGAGGATGGAAAGGAGGCCTCTGATTGGTCAAATCTACATCCGCTTTACACTATGCGTATTCCCTGTTTGGTACCTTACCAACTTGTTTTGTTTGTATGACCGCCACGGTGGAAAACTCATGAAGTTGCTAGAAGAGCAAGGTACGCAAGAACGCTGAAGCTCTTTTTGTACCTGTAGTCCCACTCTTTTTTGCCCTCATGTCCCTCCATTGTCGCACACACTTGCACAAACCACACTTCAAAATTGGGCATATATCAAAAATATCTGCGTCATATCTGCGACAAGCTCACTGCGACACATTGTTGCGGGAGTATAACCACCCCTTCAAGGGCTTGTTATGCCTCCTGTCTTGGACAAAGTCTGCGATCACCTACAATTTTGGAGAGGTGCACCAGAGTGTCTGCCGAAGGAGTGGGGGCACATTTGCATTTACTGCGACACACACTCAGATGACCTGGCTTCTGAGAATAAATCAGCCTTTACTCGGTGATGGTCAACCCATTATGATAATTCCATGTGTAAAAAGTTATTTTTGTAAATGTGAGAAATGTGGAAAAGTTCAAATAAACCATTCATCTGAAATCACGAGAAACTGCTAAAATCTAAATTATGAAAAAATGTCCAAACTTAAAGTATGGCTAACTTAATGAATTTAAACAAGCTGCACCAAATCTGGATGTGACATTTTAAAAGGTTCTACAACATATTGTGGAAAATATCTTAGGCATAGGGATTGGCAGCAGGAGACAAAAGTATAAAAATACATCTACACCTCACTTACATTGCTCAATCAACTAGAATGCATTTTTCTGAAGTTCAAGAGGAGGTAGAGTACTAGTAAAAAACCCACAGGGAAAGAATTCTAGATGAAAGACTCGAAATCTAAACAGAGACGACATTTCTTTGATGAGCCATCCAGGACAGAACATTTGATTTAATATATTTTGCCACAATTAGTCTGAGGATGAGTCTGAAAATTTTTATTTTTCATCAGATTAGAAATACTTTAGGTCAATAACAATGTGTTCCACAAAGTTTTATCTGATCAACGTTAAATAAAATTAAAATCAGTCATGCATATTTGATTTGGAGGAGCTTCAAATGGACATAAACAGTGAGTATTTGTGACCACTGCTGCACGTCCATAGGCATCCATCAAAGATATTTTTCTCTTTTGGCTGCATATTCTAAAATTAATTTTTTTTTTTTGCCTTTTTTTTTTTTTTTTTATATAAATGGTAACAGCATTCATGGATCAATGATATCATGTTGCAGATTAATAACAGTTTATAATTACTTTTACAGAAATTGTTTGCTGCTAAGGATTTAAGTGTCTGGTTAGCTAGAGGTTTATTAAAACAATGCAGAGCTGTGGTACAGTATGTTCTGTGTGCTACTGACACTAACCTCCCATGTTGCTCTTCGGAGAGGGGGGCAGACTGCTTGTGGTTCCAGATGAAGGAGAAGAAGATTTTCTCTTGCTGAGGGGGAAAATTCTCTCCCTTTGCTGCTTAAGGTCTCCAGTGATTTCCCGTGGTTTGTTTTCTGCAGCAGCAGTCAGTCTCAAGGTGCTGGCTTCATCCTTACTTTGGAATTTTTCTATCGAAAAACAATACAACTATGTTAATTTCATCCTTGAAAAATATAGAGATTTATGCTCAAAATTCTCATTCAACTGACACTTTATGCAATTGTTTCCATCTGAAGGTTCAATTTAAGAATGCTGAGACTTGTGAGATAAAACCAACTTTTCTTAAACAGTTAATGGCTGGACATTGTTGAGCTCTAAACAGATTAAAGTGTCACCTTCAGACATAAGGAAACTGTGTTCGGGGATAAATCTGTCCGATTGTCCAAAAATCTCTTCCCGATGTCTTGGTTTTTATTACACATATATCATTACATCTTTTTTTTTAAATAGTTCTCATTAAAATCTCCAAGTCAACATCAAAACCAACAGGATTCATTATCTTTTATCATCCTAATGGTTTCCCGAGGTTATTGATGTGACATGCAGTGGAAGCGTTTCCTGACAAGATAAGTATACTTATATCAGGATATTTGAATCTATCTTGCTTGAGGAGTTCTGCTAGTTTCTTCATTGTACATTTTTCTATAGATATTAAATGTTAGATATATGTGTGTATCATTTTATTTTTATGATGTCACACGAGGAAGCAGTGTGTGAGGTTGTCGTCATTATCATCGCTTATCTGAGACTGGGTCAGATTGGGTAACATTCATTACCCAGAGAAAGAGTACAGGTGATGGAGTCTAACATGCACATGGTTTAGAGCTGGTCCAGTGTTTCACTGACTATAGGGAGAAAACCACACAAGGTCTGACACTCAGCTGGACTCCCTGGGATTTCCTAGTAATCTTAGTATATGTAAACTTCTGAGTTTAAAGAAATATTAAAATATTTTATTATTTTGCTATGTAGAATAAAAACACATATTAGTAATCCTACTAAACATACATAATAGAGCTTTTTTTAAATGCCTGGTTTCCACAATCCTCTAAATATTTATAAAAAATTAAAAACCTTAATTAAAAATGATGAAGGGTCCTTAAGCTCTTTGAATATAGTTGTTGTTCGCAGAGTTAGTAGTGTAGGTATTTCAGAAACCACTGAGACTTTTGCAGGAAACAGAAAAGAAACTCTAGATCTGATGATGACTTTACGCCAAAGATGGCAGAATATCATCCATGACCAGAAATGCATCAAACCATGAAGCAGTTGAACAGGTGGTGAAGATTATCTTAATAATTTGAAGGAGTTGATGGCTTTATATTTTTTCCCCCTTTTTTGACTATAAAAAAATTTAAAAAACAACAAAACACTGACATGATGGTTTTGCCAGCATACCTGAGTTAAGACCTAAACGCATCTTGGCCAGTTTCTAAAGCCAAAAGAAACAAATCTCTGTTAAAAAAAAAACTGACAATTGTTTTTTTTATTTGACAGCCAGATAATTGGTGACATCAAGCAAGATTCTTTAGGTTTGGGCATTAAGCCAATATAAAGTCCATGTTCATGAAAAAGCACTTAGACTCCATAACCCATTGCTTTATGACCACACATCTGGACTGTAACTTCCTTTATTTAAGTGTCAGCGATTCTTTACTCACACTTGCAGATTGTGCAAAATGCCGCTATGTGTCTTTCAACAAACATTCATGGGTTAGAGCACATTTTTTACTTCACTCAGCATCTGCATTTTAGAATCCATTTCAAAATTCCGTTATTTGTATCAAGTTGTTAAATGGCCTTTTCTCTCTCTATAACTAGAAACTTTTACATGCTATCAGGTTCTCAAATGTCAACGACCTTTTGTTTTAATTAGTACCAATACCAAATGCGAGAGGGGACCAGACCTTCTCTGTAGCTGGTCCTAGACTATGCAATATCTGCTGCTGTACATAATGCAGTCTTTGACTCTGGCCAGGTTTACACATATTTTCTCTCATGAATACTTATTGGGGTGTTTGTTATTATGTTGATCATGCATTGTTTCTATATGAGCTGTGATTTCATTTTATAATTTCTGTCAACAACACATCAAACTGAGAGAACAATTTATACAGGTTCATCAAGAAAACAACAGAAGTTTCAAAAAAATGTTGCCTACCAATGAGGCTTTATTTTATCTGGGACATTCAGAGGATAAGGTCAAAAATATTAATTAACAGCATGAAAACGGATTGATCCAGCCTTGTATTTCTTTGCACAATTGTGTCCCTTTTGCAACAACTGAAAAACATTTAAACACCACAGTGAAACTGAATATCGCTTTTGACAATTTCCGCCCCTTCATGGGTTTTATTCAGTACCATATTAATCTTCTGATGGTTACTTTTTGTAGTATACCTACAAAAAGCTAAGATAATCTCAAACTTGTTTTTGAACAGTTCATTGTAAACCAGGGGTCTCCACAATCACCAAAACTCTATCCTTGAGACAAGCTTTTGGAGGTAATGGTACAGAGGATTTACATCATGAATGGGCTACTGGTTATATGAAGCAGCATAATGCTTTAATGTAAGCGAGGATCTTAATGGCCAGGAAATCTGTTAAAAAATACACTGAAAAAAACAACAAAACTGTGGCTAATTTAGTAAAGAATGAATATAGTAGAACATACCAGTCCAATGCTTTCAAGCTTCACACTTCTAAGCTTCAGCTTCAAAAAATGTCTTGTATACTTTGCCTCCAGGTAAACAGATGACCTATAAATTACTTATGGTTAAAGTAAAAAAAAAACAAAAAACTATATTGTTTTATTAGCAACAGAAAGTGGAGATCATTATTACTGGATTATTTTATGGCGAAGCATGGGGATAACAAGTGTTCAATTGTTTCAGCTCTTTTCATGATCTGTATCTTTTTTTTTTTAGGGTTTCTTCATTCTTGGCTTTGCATTCCGCTAATGTAGGGTTCTTCCATTTCAGTCTTTGCAGTCTGGCATCCAGCACCTTTTCAACATATTTCAGCTTTGACACACCTGAGTCAGATAATCAGAGCAATTGCAGAGGTCTGTCAAAATTCACTGCGCACTAAGGACTTATTTAGCCATTTGTTCCAGTTGCAATAGGACAGAGTAACTTCTCAAAGTTCATAAACACCAGACCACAAAGATAGCAATTGAAGACCCCTGAGCTGGTATGTTATTTATTTTGTGTTATTACTGACAGTTCTTGTGTTCCCTGAATATATCTTGTATTGTCTTGGTGTCTCAGCTCCTTGATCTCCTAGCTGGCTATTTCCTGCTGTTGCTTCATGCTGCCTTTCATCAATCCATCTGTCCATCCATCTCTTTTAATCATGAATTTCTGGATTGTTTTCTTCCTTATATTTACCTTTAATATAAGAATCCTTTGGAACACCTAGTTTAGGGAGTATTCTCCTGACTATGCTGTTTTCTTGAAATAAATGCAAAAAATAAAGATAGTGGATAATGGGAATAAAGAGGTTGTTTGCTACATTTATTCCTCCAACTTCTTAGGGGTCATTCAGAAATTTCAAGCATGCAAACCATACTCTAGGAGATGTTGAGATCCTGATGACTTGCACACATAAGCCATTATGACGGGCGATTTTAGGTAGCTGAGAAACTTTTTAGAGGTTTATATATTTAAAGGAGAGCAGTTCAGGGGTTTAAAAAGTTTCAGTGGTATCATAACAAATTCCTTCCATCAAGTCTGCAGTCTGTGCCCTAGATTCCCCAGGGGTCGGCCAGGAATATTACATAAAGGTGCGTGGAATATGCAAAAGCTATGTTCTGCACTGAACAGACATAAGAATATTACCCTTTTTGGTCTAAGTCTAAGTTGGTCTAAGGTTAAGTCTTTTGGGTTGACAATGAGTCCTGAGAGGATAGTGAGTAGCTTACTAGTGATGATAATCGGTTACAACTGTTCATGATAGAGTTGCTCAAATGACGGGTTTCCCACAATACAATAAAAAAAAAGTGATGTTGCCCTGGTTTTCTTCCATCCTGCAGATCTTAAGTTTATTGCCATTTGCCAGCTCTCAAAACGACTATTACTGCATAAATTATCTTCCAACATGTTGCAAAAGGTCCCAAAAAAGTCAACCAAGGAGTGGTAATGTAATTTGTAACAATGCATCACAATTCAGAAAAACTGCTTCAGCTAATTACTGGAACTCCTTTAGAGAACAGGTGTGCATACGCATTGACTTCTGAAACACAGCGGTTGCTAGGTGAATGGATGGTGCATTCAATGCAATCTAGACATTCTTGACTTTTATCATTGTGAAAAAGACAGGAATTATCCATGAATCATTTCTATTTATTTATTTTTTTAACCTTGCAGACATTGTTTGATCTAAAATACAAAATCTACATTGCTTTGATCTTACTGTCATAATAGTAACCCATGATGATTTTATCTGCGTTCTGACTTTTGCTGCTGTTACTTTTTTTAAATGTGCAATGACAGCAATCATATCAAACAATAGCCCTGTATTTACCTGAGTCCTATAATTAATTATATGAAATTGTGGCAAAATTGGCCCATTGTTCGAAGGCTTTTTTGAGGGCCGGAAGGAGTAGATTTTGAACAATTGAGAAATGACTAAAAATTGTGACCTACCCCTTGAAATTCATTGGGTTTCAGATGTTGTGCATGGCTGATATTTGGTCTTAAGCTGAGTCCTACTGAATAGGGTATTTAAAGGTAGAATTTCTCCTGACTCCAATGACATATGGAGTCAGCAGTGGTGAATACAAATAAATGCCATTCTGTGTCTTTTCTAATTGTCTCACTTTCTTAATTACAAAACAAAAAAATATTGGCTTCTTGTAAGATAAACCCAACACAACTAAATACAATAAAAATAAATCATGTATTTAGTCCACAACAGCAAGATTAACACCAAACATCAAGACTCGATGTATACACTTAGAATCATTCTTACACAACTGAAAAGAGTTTCTTACCCCTTCTAGTCCATGCTGAGTTGTCATCATGTGTGTTTGCTAACCCTTTGTCTTTCAGCGTGGTTTCAGCAGCCATCTGCTCCATTACATCACATGAAAATTGCACCAGGTCAGACAAACCTGATTATCTTAAGAAAAAAGAACATACAGCTTCTCAAAGCTAAGGTCAGGTTGATTTAATGTCCAAAAAAAAAACACTGCCTATATCTGCTTCCAGGGTGCAACATTGTCTTCTTGCCCTGGGTGTGGAAGCAGTTGTTTTCTTCGTCAAAGCAGCGAGCATCCAGGAAAAATCAGCCTTTGCATTGTGAAAGGGTCCATTTGGCCTGCCGCCCGCTCTACTGCAAACTCCTCTAATGTTCCAGTGACGTTGGCAAAAATACTTCAGATCCACTCCTATCTGCACATCTTGTCAGCTGCGTTTTATTAGTTTGAGTTATTTCCTACTGCGAAGTGATGATGAAGCCAAAGGCAAAGCAGAGTAGCTCTAAATGGGAGGAAATGGTGTATTCTGCCTCTAATTCCCATTTCAAATGCATTATTGAGCAGTCGGGACACACCATCAAGAGACTTTATTATGTTTTAGTAATACTCCAGAAGACAGAGAATACCAAAAGGCATTGGTGATCTGTTCATCAGCAAAATGTCATCACTTCTTGGTCACTTCAGACAAAGGCGGTGAATGTATGTTAGTGACAACAAAAGCAATGCTTCATTGTTCAGGTGCAAAATTAAAGCAACTAGAGAGCTGCATTGTAATGCCACAGAAAAAAACATCTAATTTACTCTAATTAGGTTCACACCAGAGTTGCATTTTAATCGACACCCTGCTGTGTTTGCATATGTTCAGGGAAACAAGAGTCATGCTAATTGAAAAATTAAGATATGAGAGTATTTGTTGACCCAGCTCCAATTATGCTACAATCTCTGTAAACAGTATTTGTAAGGAGGAGCTGGAGAGTCTCTTTCCCTCGATGCTACCCATTGTTTTATAGTACTGTATGTTACAAAGTAATGCACAAAACATAATTCTTTTTTCAGTAGTGTATCTGTTTATTCCTAAGTTACATGCAAATGAGAAAGGTTGGAAAAAGGATGTTGTGGGTTTTACTCCTTTGATTCGAAGGAACATGCCACTCAGTAGGTAAGAGAGTTTCTGTTTGGATGCAGTTTGCAGCTTTGGATACATCTTCCACTCTCCACACATGTCATGTTATAATCAGTATCATCCGTCTTTGGATTATAGCTTTAGTCTAATTCTATTCCTTGAAGAATTGATAGTACAACTAAAATAATCTATACACCAGAAAAAAATTCACAACTTAAACAGATAAAACCGGTTTTACGGTATAGGGGTAGGTAAGTAAAGGAGGGCTGAAGAAACCTTCACCTGTCTTAGTATGAATGCAGGTATTTTACTAAGGCTACAGAGAAACATAAAAACACATGCATCAAAATATTTAGGAATGCTGGATAGAACAACATCTAATGGAAGAGAAGCCAAGGGGCACATGGTAGTTCTGGATGAACTGCTGATGTCTACATCTTAGATTGGAGAATCTCTTGACAGGACAGATAGTAAATCTGACCTCTAAACTAACAATGTACACCACCTTGACTGTACATTCTTAACAGCACTGGCAGCAACATGCTGTGGTGATGTTTCTTCTACAGGGACACTGGTCAGAGAAGATTGATGGAGCTACATATGTAGCAATTATGGAACATAACCAGTTAGGTAATCCAGAAGAGAAAAGCTAAGTAAAAGGCAAGAACTAAATCCCTTTTAGAATCTTTGGTAAGACTTGAAATTGCTCTTTACTGATGTTCTCTCTACAGTATGACCGAGCATGAGCTGTTTTGTAAACACGAATGGGCAGCACAATTCTATTTTCAAAAGCTTGCAAGAGAAGTCTTTCAAAAAGCATGCAGGCCAAACTGGTTCTACAAACTATTGAAATTGTTGTACCCTATAACATAAAGCAACAATAAAATACATAGTTATACCATGATAGCCAGGAGGATTAATTGCTATTGATACCGTTACTGTGCATCTCCAGTGCATCCATCTACTCCTGGAGGCCAAAAAGGTTTGTTGCTAAAGATAAAGTGATTATATTTCAAACTTTATGTCATGAAAAGATACACTAAACCTAAGATAGACCATTTGCAATAGATTTCTTGGAACCAAAACAAAAGAATGCACACAAATGTGAAAAGGTTTCATTGTTGCATGATTTTACACCATTAAATGCAGCTCCATTTTGGCAATATGTTAATATGAATATACATTTTTTTTTATCAACAGCTCAAATTCAGCATTTCAGCAATTTTCATGGAGCAGTTACTGATATTTGGTCATCAACATTCAACAAGTAAGACCTTATTTATGATTGCTTTTAGTTAAATATTGTCTCCTTGTCCTTTACACTTAGTTTTCAAGTATACTTTATTATTTCCCAAAGGGAAATCCAATTTCTTTACAGCAAGTCCAACAAGAAAAAAAAAACATACAGAGAGACACTACACAGACATTATACATTGGGGGGACACAGTTTCAAGGCCTTGTTGCCGTAAAATGCTGCCTTTATAGTAAGATATACCCATTGTCAGAACATGGCCTGTTCCAAGCCGTATAATTCCAATGCTTTTGTAGATTTTTATCACATGCCATTATAATGGCAATACTATCATTGTTCTTTTTGCCAAAGTCAATTTCTAGCTATATATAATGTAGGCTAAGTCCCCTGTCTGAATAACCTTGGAAGGACAGTTCAACATTTACTCAAAGCATGTGTGCAGCCCCAGCAGGTGTTTCATGAAACTGTGACTGGTTTTAGTAAAATGTATTATTTTGTTGAACATGCTGCCGGAGCAGAGGTCCCCTTTACCCCTTAATGAGTTCCATGGAGAGTAAGTGTCACAGTTGGCTCCACTGATGAGAGCACAATCCCATGTCACCTTGAGGCCGGCTAACACAAAGGAAAAAAAGAGCTTAATATCATATCTGTTATATCACAGTTATAGTGACAGGAAGATGTCACTGTCATTAAATAGAATAATGAAACAGAAATGTAGAATAGGAATTGAAGATGAAATCCATCCATTGTGGCTATTTAGTAAATATTGATAGAGAAAAATCCATACTTTTTTTAAAATACTAACAATAATAATATTATTACAATAATAAAACATTACAATAATAATGATATCTAATTCAGTGGCTACAGTGGTGTAGGATACAGGAGTTTGTCCTGCAATCGGAGGGTTGCCGGTTCTTACCCAAGGTCTGTCCGTCTAAGTTGTGTCATTGGGTTGTTGTGTCCTTGGGTAAGACCCTTATCCCTTATTGCTCTCTGATGGAGGTCAGAGCGTCCTATGGCCTGTGTGTTCCACACCCTTGATTCTCTCTGTCAGCTTCAGAGCAGCAGTGGCTAAAACTGAGCTTGCCACAATCAGCATGTGAATGGGTGAATAACTGAATGTAGAGTAACAGATCTTTGGAGTCATCTGACTTGATAAAGTGCTATATAGTGCAAGTACAGGCCATTTACAATTTAAGGACATAAAGAAATAACCCTGATATCTAACAACTAGCTTAAGAATGACACATTAGCGTAGAAGTACAAATAAATAAAACAATTATCTTCATAAAATAGGAACATTTGTATTTGGTTTATTTCCTTTGTTTAAGGAAGTGACAGAAGTGATATGTTTGATATGAACTATTATTATGATAGCGATTTGGAATGCAAAATTAACAGCTATTTAAGCACCTTTTTAAAAGCACGGATTGTGTTGCCTTTAAAAATGAAAGGATTAAGGACCGGAGCAGAAACGTTTCACCACCTGTCTTGTTATCATTTTGTGTATGAATTAGGGACAGACGATCATACAGCATACCGGTGTTACACAAAAATCTGTGACCCCAGCACATGATACATGCCGATGTGTTGCCCATTGGTTATTTGATTTGCTGACAAAGGGTTGCCTCAACCATACAGTAATTAGGAACACATTCTCTCTTTTGTACTGAGATGAAGATAAAGCCATCTCAATTATTACTGCAAAATATTTGTGGGAAAAAAAACACTCTCTCTGCTTCCAAATTTGGCAAAATTATAGTAAGGTTCACCAGGGCAGGGCTTTTAGCAACTGTAACTGCTGAGACTGAGGGATTGTTATATGGGCTGGTTTTAAATTTTCAGATACTGTAGGAGTTGAGCAAAGAAACTTAACTTCTTGTTAAATGTAATAAAAATATTAGGAAGATCATTTTGGCACATATAGTGAAGTTATATTGTAGTCTATTGTAGGTTGGGATTACCATAATTTCCTTTGAGAAAAAATAGGGGACTTGACAAAGTCACTTCAATTGTAATCTGTTAACTTAGATTATATAGAACTTTATATAACTTTATTGATATCACAATGAAAACATTCACTTGTGACATCAGCTCTTAAAAACAACAGAAGGTGTACAAAGGAGGAAAAGGTGCATGAAGGATACAGTATAAAGTACAGTACATCCAGATATACTGTATAGAGTGAATGGTAAAAAATATAGAAGGAAAAATTTAAGGAGACTTTTTATACTGTAAACTTAAAGAAGATTTAGAAGATTTCACTGTAATAATAATAGCGCACATTTTTAGTCCTGCTGGTCAAGTAGAGTTTTCAGATTGTTGGACTAGTGATGCAGCAAGCGGATACAATAAGGCCAAACATGTTGCTGCCCTGGAAGTTGCAGAAGGAAAAACCTGGGCCTGGGAGAAGTTTGGAGAGATATGGCACCCTGTGTGAGGTGCTCCTAGGGATCTTTAACAGGGGCCATCCAACCAGAGCAGGAGTTTGGATTGCATTGACTCTGGCAGGGCTGCCAACTAACACCGGTCCTGGTCCTAACCTTTATGGAAAAGATGCAGCCAAGGGCCTGAGATCGTCTAGTTTGGGGACCAGTGAATTTCATCCCTGCTTTTTTTTAAAGGATGTGGTTCTGCAGGCTCCCTCCTACCATGACTTGTATCATTCTCTGACCTCACTGACCTTATATCATTTTCTGACCTCCCTGACCTCACCAGTGGTCATGAAATCTGAGTCATGACCAAAGAGCAATATCCAAGATACAAGCAGCTGAAATTAGCTTTGTCTGCAGGGTGGCTGGGCACCTCCCTTGAAATATGGCGAGGAGCTCAGCCATTCGGGAGAAGCTTGGAGTTAAGTTGCCTCTCATCCACATAAAGAGCTGTCAGATGAGGTTGCTCAGACATCTTTTTTGGATGCCCCCTGGACGCCTCCCTTGAGAGGTTTTCCAGTTATGTCGCACAGGGAGGAGGACTAATAGACAGCCGAGGACTGCTGGAGGTACTATATTTC